CTCTCATGCCTCCCAAGTACCTGGGATTACAGGTGTGCACCAACTGCCCAGCCAATTCTCTGACCACTTTTAACTTGAGTTTTTGGTCATTTTGTCATTGAGAAGGATCTCATAGCCAAAATACAAAGAGAATACAACCAAACAATGTGTAGACTACATGACTACAATTATATACCACTTCACTCACACTAGGATGACTATATTCAAAACAACAAAAAATAACAAGTGTTGATGAGGATGTGGAAAAGCTGCAATCCCTTGTGCACTGCTGGTGGGAATGTTCAATTATTCAGTCACTGTGGAGAACAATTTGGTGGTTCCTCAAAAGTTAAACACAGATTTACCATCTGACCAACCAATTCCACTCTTGGAATTTTTTTTTTTTTTTTGGTACTGGGGATTGAACTTGGGACCTTGCACTTGTGAGGCAGGTGCTGAAACCACTGAGCTAAATCCCTGGCCCTGCCACTCTTGGAATTTCAAAAGAACTGAAAACATGTACAAAAAACTTGTGAAGCACAAATATTCATAGCAGCACTATTTGCAATAGCCAAAAAGTAGAAATAATCTAATTATTCATCGGCTGATATATGGATACACAACATATGGTATACCCATGCAACAGAATATTGTCATAAAAAATGAAGGCATACTGCTACAAATTAGATGACTCTTGAAAACATTATGCTAAGTGAAAGACACAAAAGGTCCCATAGTATATGATTCTACCTATATAAATCTCAAGAATAGACAAATCCATTAAGACAAACATTAATTAATGGTTATTAGGGGCTAGGGGTAGGGGGATAGGGAATGGCTGTTTAATACTACAGGTTTCCTTTTAGGATGAGAAAAGTGTTTTGGAACTATATGAGGTAACGGTTGCAAAACACTGTGAATATACTACATGTCACTAAACTGTAACTTTTAAGAGGTTCATTATGTGAATTTTACCTCAATTTAAAAAAGATACGAACAGTAAAAAAATCAGACACACAGGTGTTAGAAAAAGGGATATATTTACAAAGCAAAAAGTACCCAGATTCTAGCTGGAGGGAGAGGGGAGGAGGTAGGTGGAGGGTAGGAACGGGTCCCTTTAGAGCCCACCCTCATTTCTGTTGTTTTTTCGGTACTGGGGATCAAACTCAGGACTTTGCCCTTGCCAGGCAGGCGCAGAGCCACTGAGCCAAATTCCCGGTCCCCACCCTCATTTCTGAAGAAACCCTGAGTACCAGGCCATGGGCTAAGTCCCTGCCCATCCCTGTCCCAATCCAAGAAGCAATGCCATCAGCCACAGCTCTCAGTCCCCTTGCCAGTCATCCTGTGCCCAGGCAGGCATGGGTGAAACATACTCAAAGTCTGGCCCTTTATAGCGGAGGGCATGCAGGAACATCACAAGGTCTTGGGGCAAGGGATCCTGTCGCACCAGCCGGCACTCTGTACAGAGAGGGTCTGTCTCTTGATTCGTAACGTCTGTTTCAGCTGCCTCCTCAGGCACCAAGATCATTGTGTCCAGATCCTGAGGGGGTGCCTCAACTACTCCATCCATCTTCTGAGCAGCTGTAATCAATTCTTCCAGGTTGGCCTTGGCCAACTCTGAGGAGGCAGCTGTAGAGTCTGGGAATCTTGGGGACAGGTCACTCTCACAGAGATCCAGCACATCCAGGCTCTGTTTGGTCTGGTGTTCTGTCACCAGGTCCCGAAGCAACTCCTCATCTGTCTTGGGAATGTGGCCACCTCGGCCTCGGGAAGGGCCCCAGGCAAGTGAATTGTAGATGGGGTCATTGATAATGGGGTGGCCCAGGAACTGGAGGTGAACTCGAATCTGGTGGGTCCGGCCTGTGAGTGGCCGGCACCGTACCACACTGGAGTGGGCATTGTAGCTCAATCTCTGGAACAGGGTCTCACAGGGCTTACCCCGAGGATCTACCCGGCACACTCCTACCTTGTAAGATACCACTAGGATGGGTTCCTTGCAGGTCACCTCATTGTTGGGGAACTCCCCTTCTACTCGGCACACGTACTCTTTCTCCAGCTACACAGGAGGAAGAGCGAGAAAGTCAGCACAAAGCCTAACTCAAGGAGTTGAAACTCTCTGCAGAGTGATAAGGAATGCCCACGGTTAGATCAAACAGGATTCAAAACCCAGCTCCACCACTTACTTGTCAGTTTTGTAATCTTGGGTATATTACTTTTTTTTTTTTTTTTTTTTTTGGGTAGGGGGATCGAACTCGGGTCCTTGCGCTTGTGCAGCAGGCGGCGAAACCACTGAGCTAAATCCCCAGCCCCTTCTTGAGTATATTACTTAAAGCCTCTTTGAATCCCATTAACTCATTTAGAAAATGAGTTCAGAAAAACATTTACCTTGCAGGGCTGGTACAAGCCTTCAGTAAATTGGGCTCTGATGTGCTTGGTACTAAGCCTGTCATGTTCTCAATAAATGAATGCATAGTACGCACTCAATAGATGTATTATGATCCATATCCAGAATTTCAAATCTCAAGTCCATGATCACTATCATTAAGCTCTTTTACCCAAGCTTCTCCAACTTTATACATAATTTTCCCACCAAGCAGGCTTTCCCCAAAATCTTTATAAAAACCTTCACCAGCCCATTGGTACTGTAAAACTTTAAAACAGCAAACTACCAAAAGAGGCAGCATATGGCATCTCTAAAGATCTTTAAAAACATGCAGGATAACCCATCTTTGGTACCTGAAGTGCCAGCCTTCCTGAAAGTAGGACACTTGGCCAGGTAAATATCAAGGCCCAATTCAGATCTAGAACTCCATTACACCCTTTGGATAGACCACTCCTGAGTCCAGGAAGTGGCCTGTGGGAGACAGCCTGACTCACCTGCCGGTTCCGAACTTGCTCATGGATTCTCTCAGAGACAGCAGCTGTCTTGGCAAACATGAGCACCCCTGAGGTTAGGCGGTCAAGCCGATGCAATGGGCGTAGCTCCTTCAGTTGGTGTTCCTTGCCTAGGATGAAGATGACTGTGTTGTGTCGGAAACGACCACAGGGGTGGACAGGAATAGAGGAAGGCTTATCTACAACTACCACATCTTCATTCTCAGCTAGCAGGCGAATAGGCTCTGCTGTGACTGGTGGCTCATGCCTGTGCACTGTGTTCCTCAAGAAGTCATTGTCCTGCCAAAAACATAGGTAACCAGTCAGCCTAAAAGCCAGCAGTCTGTAATCAGTCAATTTCACACCCAGCCTCCTGTGCATTACTGACATGGAAGAATAGTACATGCTCAAGCAGATAAAGAATGAAAATGCTGGGGGTGGGGGGCGCCCAGGGATTTAGCTCAGTGGTTCCGGCACCTGCCTCAAAAGAGCAAGGTCTGGAGTTCGATTCCCAGTACCAAAAAAAACCACAACGAAAATGCTGGGGATTTAGCTCAGTGGCACTGTACCCGCCTTGCAGGTGGCAAGGTTCTGAGTTCGATCCCTGATACAAAAAAAAAAAAGAAAGAAAGAAAGCAGTGTTGCATTGTATGTTTTCTCATTGTGTAAAAATACAAACAAAGGTTAATGATTATATCTCTGGGAGATGAGATTATGGATTTTTGGTTTTACCTACTGATATATATTTTACAAAAAAAAATTGTATTGTAAAAGTAAACTTCCTTTGTTTTGGGGGCTTTTTTTTTTGGAGAGGGTCTTACTATGTGGTTCAGGCTGCCCTGAACTCACTATGTAGCCCAGGCTGGCCTCAAACTCACGGCAATTCTCCTGCCTCAGCCTCCCAAGTGCTGGGATTACAGGCCTGCCCCATCATGCCTGGCTTTGGGCTTTTTTGGTACCGGAATTCGGGATCTTGCGCTTTCGAGGCAGGGGCAGAATCACTGAGCTAAATCCCAGGCCCCTTTGGGGCTTTTTTTTGAGACAGGGTCTCCCTATGTAGTTCAGGTCAGGTTGGCCTCGAAATCACAGTGATCCTCCTGCCTCCAGAGGACTGGGATTACAGGCGTAGGATATCACAACCAGCAGTAAATTTCTTTTAAACAGAGGGAAAAGCTCCATAAATCATCACTTACGACCTTGAAAAAACACCAACCTGTTAAATGCAGAGATCTGGACTCTACACCTAGATTGCCACGGCTCATGACATGCCCTTGGGCAAGTTACTGACCTACTCTGAGTCTCAGTTTCCTTATCTGTCAAATGGGAGAATTAGACCAGACCTGTGGTTTGCAAAATTGGGATGGAAAAGGGAGTCGCTAAAAGCTGAAATTGCCTTGCCTCTCTTCACAACCATGGTGAGCCAGCGTTACAGAAAGGTGTGTCCCCAGAACTTCACCTTGAGCGTGACGCTGAGGTCCTGCACTGGCTCCTCGTTGAGGTGCAGGCGGCCCGCCTGTACCGCCGCCTCGTAGTAGGCCAGCGGCTGGGCTCGGAACTCAGTGCTAAAGACGTGCAGCAAACTGTGGCCCACCCAGCGGCCTTTGCAGTAGGTCTGAAAGTCGAAGTAATAGGGTCGCACCTTGCGCAGGCCGCCCTCAAAGTAGTAACTGGTTTCGGCGAAGTGCTCATTACCAAAGCTGACTCCAGTTCGCCGCTTCTTCGGGGGTGGGACGACGCGCTCCCCAGTTGCGCCTCGCCGCTTCTTCCGCTTGCCTGGGTCGGCGGCTGGAGTCGACGACTGCTCCCCGGTCCTGAGCGTCGGTTCGGTTACAGGGCCCGCTGGTTCCGGGGGCCCCAGTAGCGGCTCGCCCCTCGCATCGCTACCACCGTCTCCGTTTTGCTGAGCCGGAGCCCTCAGGCCGCCCGCTGTCTCGACTCCTGTCGACAGTGTTTCTGCCATCGGGCTCCTACAGCTACCCAAAGTCCTGACAAACCTGAGGGGCCGGGGGTCGAAACACCACCGTACAAGAAACCCCAGACGGCCGTGGGCACCCAGGCGCATGATCGCGCGGATACCGCGCCAGCGTCGCGTTTTGATGGCGTCACTCAGCACCAGCCAATCGATGAGGACAAGTGCCTAGGCAGTCTGCAGGAGTGCGGAAAAGGAAGTGAAGGGGACTGAGTGGTGAGTGGAGATGCCAAAAGTGCGTCCTCCTACCCTGGAGACCTGACATTATTTCATAAAGGAAATCTTTGGGTTTCACTGCGTAGAAGTCGTGACAGGAGTGGGTCGGGTATATTCTATGGCATCGCTATTAGATGTGATGGAATATACGGTACTCAAAAGTTTCTTGGGTCTACAGAAACACTAGAAAGGAACTTTATTTAAAACAAACCAAAACCAATTTTTTTGTTTTTGTGACACAGGGCCTCCTTATGTAGTTGAGATTGGCCTTACACTCACTATGTAACCAAGGCTGGCCTCGAACTTGGCAGTGATCCTCCTGCCTCAGCGTGCACCACCAAACCTGGGCAAAAAACCCCTAAAAAAACTAGAATGAAAGTTGCTAAACTCTGTGAGTATACTAAAAACCATCTATTGTATACTTAGTGTGTATTATAGTATGTGACATATATAGTATTATAGTATTGGCATACTTCAATAAAACTGTTACAGATTTTTTTTGTTTGTTTTTAGAGTGAAATTTCTCCAAGTAGTTAGATATTCCAACGCTAGGTACCCCTTAAAGGGACAAATGTCTAGTCCAATTCAGGAGACCTAGCCTTTGTAATATAAAATGCTAGTTTTCTTTTTAAATGTATTGAGTTTTTTTATTTTTTGGTACCGGGGATTAAACTCGGGTCCTTGCGCTTGCGCAGCAGGCAGCGAAACCATTGAGCTAAATCCCCAGCCCTTAAAATGCTAGTATTGATTTAGGGCATTCTTCTCATATGCATTAGCACTTTACAGAGGAGTAAGAGAAGTCTTTTTCTTTTCTTTCTTTCTTCATTTTTGCTGTTTCTTCTGTTAACTTGTCAGTCTCACCAAACTAACAGAGGTACTACAGCTGACACTCTTATTTCAGAGCAGTTTGAGATAGCCACAGCTATAGAACTCTACATGCTGAAAAACAGCCTAATTCCTAATTCCTTCCTCAAAATAAGAGGTCAAATTTTCCATTGATTGTGAGTCTCACTATGTAGTTCACTCTGGCCTTGAACTCACTATGTAGCCTAGACTGGCAATCCTGCCTCAGCCTCCTGAGTGCTGGGATTACAGGTTTGTGCCATTACTTCTGACTTCTCCTTTGTTTTCTAACCTCCTTACCTTTCACTTTCTTTGCTTGCATACTCTCTAAGAATAGTTGTAAGTGTGAGCAGAGTACCTTGTGGTAGTACTTTCAGATGGTCATAGTTGTCACTACCATACCTCCATTGATTGTTGGACACATCTAAAGGCAATAACCTCAGCCAAGTTTCTTCTACTGATGGCTGGCTGATATCTTTCATCATGTTTCTTTGGGAGAGAGTAACAGTCCTGGAAACTGAGGACTAGGGAGGTTGTAACTAAGTGAACCTGCTGATATCCCTTGAAGGATATCAAAGGTCATCTTTAGAAGGCACCTCAGGATAGGGACTTAGCTCAGTGGTGCTGCTGCCTGCCTCACAAGTGTAAGGTCCTGAGTTCGATCCCCGTATTGCCCCCCCTCCCAAAAGGCACCCCATCTCACACTTTTTTCTATGTGCTCTGGCCACACTTCTGTCATGGCCTCTTGGCTGTTATTTGTACCCCTGTCTGCCTTCTTGGGAGATCTCGCTCCTGGCAGACAAGCTCGACTCCTGTTGACAGGGTTTCTGCCATCGGGCCCCTACAGCTACCCCAAGTCCTGACAAAACTGAGGGGCCGGGGGTCGAAGTGCCACCGTACAAGAAACTCTGGGACCCATTCTAAGTCTAACACAATGCCCACAACACAGCAGTAGCTTGGTTAACTGCTGACTGGATAAGCAGAAGCTTCATAATTCAGTGAATGGGTCATAGGTCTCCTGTGACATTAAGAAGCCACTTAAAGTGCTCTAACTTGAGTAGCAAGGGTGTGAAACAAACACCCCCCAGAGAATTGCCCAGGAGGTGAACTTACTCAAGGGCCCAAGTCAAAAGTCTGGAAAACTTGGCTTTCCCATTAGAGAAAGGAGAGGATGAGCAGATAGCTGGAACCACCCTGTCCACGAGAAATGAAATTCTTTGTGGTGGAGGAAACGGCTCTGGTCGCTGGACTCCACCGTTTCCGGGCAACCATATCCCCGCCCACAACTCCCCTCCCCTCTGGGCCTCGTTTCCTCCCAAGCTCCTCTCGACCAATGTGTTCGCACTACGTCGCTGGGCCAGAAGATAATTGGAGGGCTCCTGGGCCCCGTCACTCGGAGACTCCTCCCCTCGCTGCTTCCGAGCTGGACGCTTCTGACCGGAGCAGAGCGTTTGCGGAGTGTTGTGCAGGCACTTACGGTAGGTGAGAAGGGGCCGGGGCGCCCACCGTTTTGTATCCACTACTCTGGCCTGACCCCGAATACCACAGAGGCTATCAGGGACCAGGTTCTTACACCCCAGCCAGGCCTTGAGGCTGGAGCGACTGAGGCCTGGAGTCTGGACACTGGGTTTTCTGCGCAGTTACGGGCGCCGTGGGGGCGGGGGCACGCGGGGCTCGGCGGGAGCAGAGCTTTGGTTTAGGTGTTTTCAGAGGACTTACATTGAGGCTTCATCAGTTCACCCAGGGCCTTAGTGACTTGTGTCCCTTTTACTTCGGCCCTTTGCTCTGGCTAGGCTCTCTTGAGATTTTTTCAGACCTTTCACTGGGCAGCCTTCTTGATCTCTGAGACTCCCGCTGAAAGGTGTCGGCCTATCCTGTAAACCTAGGTGGTTCTGGAATATCCCTGATCCTAAGCGCGGTCTTTGTGCATAGTTCTCCCTACCAGACTCTCCTTGGGCTGCTTTCAGTTTATGTCCCAAACAGGAAGAGTACTGGGTAACGGGTAAAAATACGTATTTTGAAGGGGAGCATGTTGGCTCATGCTGAAATTTCGGCACTCTAGGAGGCTGCGTTTTGTTTTGGGGTTTTTTGGTATCGGGGATCAAACTCAGGACATTGCGCTTTCAAGGCAGGCGCCAGAGCTAAATCCCCGGCGCTCTGGGAGGCTGAGTTTGAGTCCTTCCTGGTAACCTAGTGAGATCTTGTTGCTCAAGAACGTGGGGTGAAAGCTCAGTGCAAAGGCCCTGGGTTCAATCTCCATTACCCCCCCCCCCCCAAAAGAAAAAGTTTTGGAGCAGTTCAAGTCTGGATTTTAGTGTGGCCTTCTGAAACTCAGTTTCTTCATCTGTAAAATAATGAAACTTCTTATATTTCAGTGTGCCCATTACATGCTAACTATCCTGACTTGATTACACATTATGTGCATGTATTACCACACTGTACTCTATATAATATACAATTAAAATAATAACAAATTTTTAAAAGTGATTTTTATGTAGGTTTTTTTTTAACTCTTGGCGATCCTCCTTCAGCCTTCCAAGTGCTGGGATTACGGGTGTAAAAAAAGTGGTTTGTTTTTTTTTTTTTTAAAAAAAGAATAGGAGTTAATGTAGTCCACCTACCACATGTAATGAGAACATGACCCTTGCATTATGAGAACACTGACACACTAACAGACCCTTTCACCAAGCAACATTTTTCTTATCTTCAGGAATATGAAACTGGAAGACCTTTAGTCTGCCCTACCAGACAAAATTTAACTGGCTGGCTAGAGCAGTTGCATTTTGGAGATCTTTGGACAAAAGTGTTCCAGTTGTTCACACTGGAAGAATCCTAGAAATTCCTGTGTGTGTGTGTGTATGTGTTAATATGTTAAAACATACATAATGTAGGCCGGGGATTTAGCTCAGTGGTTCTGGTGCCTGCCTCGAAAGCACAAGGTCCTGAGTTCGATCCCCGGTACCAAAAAAAAAATATATATATATATATATAAAACACATGTAATGTAAGATTTATCATTTTAATTTTTTTCCCCAGGAGTCTGGATTGAACCTACGACCTTCACATTGAGCTACATCCTTAGCCCTTATTTATATTTACTTGTTTTTAAAATTTTGAGACAGGTCTTGCTTAAGTCACTAAATTGCCCAGGCTGGGCTTACACATGTGATCCTGCCTCAGCGCCCCTAGCGTGCTAGGATTACAGACAAGCACCACCATGCCTGGCTGTTTTGACCATTTTTATGTGTACTGGTCAGTGGCATTTGCATTGTTGTACAACCAAAACTGGCATCCATCCTCAGAACTTTTTCATCCTCAGGACTTTTTCATCCTCTCAAACAGAACCTTTGTACCTATTGAACAGTGACTCCCCATTTTCCTCTCACACCACTGAGCTAAATCCTCAGCCCCCACCATTTATTTTCTATCAGTTTGACTCTAGGTAATTCATAGGAATAGAATCATTCAATGTTTGTCCTTTTGTGTGTGGGGCTTGTAGAAATTCCATTTTCAGAGCAAACATTATGAGTGCAAAGTCAAAAAGAGAATTCAATTGTTCTTTTGTCATCTTTATCTGTAATATGAATCTAATACAAGATATTTTTAATTTTTCTTGCAAGAAACATCTTAAAAGCCTATTACCATTTTTTTTCAAATGTGTAAACAGATACCTGAGTACCATGCACTTACACTGTATCCTGAAACCTCTTCCTTACTTGTCTGCACTTCTGTTTTCCAGCTTAGATTCCAAATGAAAATGTTTGAGAGTATTGACTGCGCAGCCACAAACTCTGGCAGGGATCTCTGGTCTGAAATCTGTTCCTGTCTACCAAATCCTGACCAAGAAGATGCTGCATACAATGCCTTCTCGGACTCCTTTGTAGATTCTTACCCTGTGGGTAAAGACCAGGGGGAAGCAGCAGACTTTGCTGTCCAGTCAGCTATAAAGCCCTGGGCTCCCTTGCAGGATTCAGAAATGTATTTAGCATCTCTAGGTAAGTTAGATAGCTCCTTTTCTCTTTTTTAAATCAGAAGCTGGTGGTCTTATAATATTTAGGCAGTTTGAAGATTGAACCCAGGGCCTTCACATTGAGCTATATTCTCAGCCATTTTATTTTATTTATTTTGTGGTTTGTTTTTTTTTGGCACTGGAAATTGAACTCGGGACCTTACGCATTCGAGGCAGGCGCCAGAACCACTGAGCTAAATCCCCAGCCCCTTATTTTGATTTTTGAAACAGGGTCTCACTATGCAGTTCAGGCTGACCTTGAACTCACTATGTAGTCCAGGCTGGCCTCAAACTCACGACCATTTTCGTGCCTCAGCCTCCTGAGTGCTAGGATTACAGTTGTGTGCCATGGTGCCCGGGTCTTCCAGCCCTTTAAAAAAATGTTTTTATTTTATTTTCAGACAGATTCTTGCTAAGTCACTAAGTTCCCCAGGCAGGGCTCAGATTTTTGATCTTCTTGCTTCAGCCTCCTGAGTGTTGTGATTAAAGGCTCGCACCACCATGCCAAGCACAAAGCTGGTGGTTTTAGGAAAGCATGTTGAAGTTCTGTTACATCAAACTTTTTTTTTTGCGGTACAGGGGATCGAACTCATGACCTTGCGCTTGGGAGGCAGGCGCCAGTGCCACTGAGCTAAATCCCCAGCTCCCCACCATTTATTTTCTGTCAGTTTGACTCTAGGTAATTCATAGGAATAGAATCATTCAATGTTTGTCCTTTTGTGTGTGGGGCTTGTAGAAATTCCATTTTCAGAGACAAACCTTATTATGAGTGCAAAGCCAAAAAGAGAATTTAATTGTTCTTTTGTCATCTTTATCTGTAATATGAATCTAATAGACATTTTTAATTTTGTTACAAGAAACATCTTAAAAGCCTGTTTCTGACACAAAAACTGTACATACTGATGTTTTGATATGTGCATACATTATGTAATGTTTAAATTAAGGTAAACATAGCTACTCCTCAACCATTTATTATTTCTTTATGGTGAAATTTTTCGAGATCCTTTCTTCTCATGGTATTCTTTTATTGCTGAACATCTGTGAGGTATACCTGTGTGTCATAAGACACTTGAGGAAGGAAAGGCAGTTTAGGAAGAAGGAACTTTTGAGGAAAGATAGAAGAATCAAAAGAGACCTTATATGCTTGCTAAGAAATATCTTGGGAAAACAAAAGGAATTTCACTAATATACTGCAGAAAAACACAGTTGGAATGATAGAGAATGAGAAAGGTGAGAGGGTAATATGAAATTTGTTGGGAAGCTACCAAAGATGGAATAGTAATGCTTGTAGCTATGGCCAGCCAGGTTGGAAGTTGTGCTTGTGGTAACCAGAGCACCTACGTAATAATGTTAAGGAGGAGAAACAGCAGACAGAAAGCGGTAGCAGGCCCTTTAGGTGGTTAATGCCATGTGACCAGGGGTTATAAGAAACTCTCATAGAAGGAACTAGGGATTTAATTTAGCTCAGTGGCGCCACGCCTGCCTTGCAAGGACAAGGTCCTGAATTCAATCCCTGGTACCAAAAAAAAAGAAACTCATAGAGATGATCATGGTTATGACTGCTAAAGATTAGTTTGCAAAGCTAAAACTCCACTGGTCTTCTCTAAAAATCAGTTAAGAAAATGGTAATTAAAATGTCCTTCTCTGAGGAAAATAAGAGCCATTGCTGTTGTCCAGGGAAGGGACTAGGTGACAGTGGCACGCAAGTTTGGGGGCTGTAACAGCACCTCTTTCTGCCTGCTCTTTGGGGATCACACTTGATCAAGAACTTAGTACATTCAAGAGAGAGGAAGACCTTTTCTAGCCCAAAAGAACCTTTGACCATAATAATCAAGGCCAGACAATGTAAAGATTGTTTTTATTGCCAGATAAACCTGTCTCAAAAAGAATGCACAGGGCTGGGGATTTACCTCAGTGGCTCTGGTGCCTGCCTTGCAACTGCAAGTTGTTCGATCCCCAGTACCAAAAAAAAAAAAAAAAGAATGCACTAATAAGAGGAATAATTAAAAACTTTCCCAGTTAAACATGAGATATGCATAACCTTCCTTACATACTCAGGAAAAGATAAAGCCCTTCAAGTATTAACATTTGTCAACTGCAGGCCTTTTACATGCATGCGCTCTTGGGGATAGCTCACAGGAACACAGACAGTTTTTTGTTGCTTTGTTTTTTTGTTTTTGTTTTTTTTAGTACTGGGGATCCAACCTGGGACCTTGTGCTTGTGAGGCAGGCAGCGGAACCACTGAGCTAAATCCCTGACCTGGTTTTCTGTTTTGATCCATGGGTAGTAGCTCATGTGACTTGTTTGGAAATGAAAACAGGATTGCATGTCATGAAGTTTCTAGTGGCTTTGCACTTGATATCCGTCTCCCCTACGAAAAAATAAGCCAGAAACCATCATTTACCTGTGCACATTTACAGTTGCTTAAAAGTAGGGGTATCCAAAAGTGTGGTTAGGTGATTTCACCATTGTTTAAACACTGGGGAGGGTACTTACTCAAAGACAGCTGTGACATCACTAAGTGATATAATCTTTTTTTTTTTTTTTTTTTTTGGTGGTACTGGGGATTGCACTCAGGACCTTGTGCTTGTGAGGCAGGCAGCAGTACCACTGAGCTAAATCCCCAACCCTTAAGTGATATAATCTTAAGGAACCATTGTCAGGTGTGTGGTCTGTCCTTCACCAAAACATTGTGTGGCACATTTGAAGGTGACAATTAATGAAGAAGGTAACCGGTAATGTCCTTTCTTGTATTCTTCAAAAGGAGAAATTTGGGGCCGGGGATTTAGCTCAGTGGTTTCACCGCCTGTTGGGCAAGCGCAAGGACCTGAGTTCGATCCTTGGTACCAAAAAAAAAAAAAAAGAAAGAAATTTGTTCAACAGTTATACTTAAAATACAAAGAAGAGTAATTAAACAAACATGTATCATCAGGAAACCATATGGACTACTCTCACAGGGATTAAAAAATGCTTGTTTTGGGCTGGGGATTTAGCTCAGTGTTTCTGCCACCTGCCTGGCAAGTGCAAGGTCCCAAGTTCAATTCCCGGTACCAAAAAAAAAAAAAGATGCTTGTTTTTATTAGGCTCCAATATCCAGGCCACAAATTGAGCAATTTTTTTAAATATTGGAAGATTCTTTTTCTTTAATCAAGAATTTAATCACACATAGAGATCTTAAAGGTCTCATATTATTGAGTTCCTGTCAAGTCAATTTTAGTGTCTAATGAACCGTTGGATCTCTCATCATTTTCTCTAATTCTTTCTCATGAGGTTTGGAAACCACTTCATGTCACTTTAAAAGGAAGAAAAGCCATTTACTCCTCAGAGACATTATTTTCAAGGAGTCGAAAAAAAGATGATAGCATACACATGTCAAGCTGAGGAAAACAAGCATTCCTTAGAGAGATACCTGCTGGCTTATGTGATGTGATTTCAAAGGAAACATGCCAGTAACTTATTTATGAGAACCTATGGCTTTTCCCTTTTCTGGGGTTAAACGTTTATTTGATACAATGCAGGATAAGGACTCTGTGAAGGAAAAAGGAATATGTTTGATCCCTTTTTATCTCTCCTTAAAAAATGTGCCCTTTGGGCCAGGGATTTAGCTCAGTGGTTCTGCCGCTTGCCTGGCAAGCACAAGGACCCGAGTTCAATCCCTGGTACCAAAAAAAAAGCGCCCTTTTTGAAGGAATGTGGATGTACTAATCAGTGAGAGAATTATTAAATTTGCATTTTACATTCAGTTGAAATTTCGTTTCATACTCACTTTCCTTGTTAAGCTCCATTTTTCATTTCTTTAGAGAAGAAACTAAGAAGAATCAAAGGTTTAAATGAGGAAGTGACTTCTAAGGACATGCTTCGAACCCTGGCCCAAGCCAAGAAGGAGTGCTGGGATCGGTTCCTCCAGGAGAAGTTAGCATCAGAGTTCTTTGTAGATGGACTGGATTCTGATGAAAGGTAATTGATTCCCAGTCTGTTTCATTGCCAGAACACTTCTCTTTCTCTGAAGCATTCAAGGATAGTGGTATGTGGGTCCTAATATTTGTTGATATCAACATTATCTCTTTGTGCTAAAATCAGCCTTTGTAAGCTTGCTTTTTTTTGTTCTTAGCCTAACAGATTTTTTTTTTCTGTTTGTCTTTGGTTTTTGAGATAGTGGCTTCCAAAGGTATCCTGAATGTCCCTATCTAAACAGGAGATTAGCCTAGAAGATTTTTGAGAATGGGTATTTTTTCCAAAAGGCAAAGACCCCAGCTACATCCCATTCACACACTGAATAGAGCTGAGGAGAGACCACTATCTTCATTTATAGGTATGTAATGCACTTGAAAAAAACTAGTAATCAGTCAACAATTGGAACCATCTCTTTTTACCTCTGAATCTCCATTGCCTTACAGAGTTCCTGCCATATTGTAGCCACTCAATAAACATATGTAGACCAAATTAATAAATTTATTAAGCATGTGCTATAGGATGACATTGTATCCTGGGAGAGTGTTATAAGGAAGTTTTGGGCTCTTCCATCTCTCTCCTTTTTGGGGAGATCCTCAAACCCAATTGAGGACAAATACAGTGGTACTTCAGTTCATAAACACTTTCATTTGCAAACAATTTGGTTTGCAAACAAAAGCATTGGACAAAATTTTGTTTTTGTTTGCAAACTGCATCGAGTGACATGACCACAACCATCTTTCCCACACAAACACAAATGTGGCCCTCTTTTCCAAAATCGTAGAACAAATTAAGTTCGTGAATCAAGGTATGATTGTATGTGTGAAGATATACCTTAGCTCAGTGATGGCAACCTTTTAGAGACCAAGTGCCCAAACTACAATCCAAAACCCACATTTTTGGTTTTTGGGGGGGGCTTTTTGGTACCGGAGATCGAACTCTGGACCTTGCGCTTGCGAGGCAGGCGGCATAAAACCCACTTATTTAACACAGGTGTTGGCAATGCAGTCAAACCTAAATACTGAGGTTTTAGTTTAGAAAAAGCAACTCATACATTAATGTCTTTTGTCTTGAAAGAAAAACACAGTACAGAGCTTTCAGTGATATAAACACCTTTTTATGGAAAGGTAAATATTTGCATTTGGCATGCTTTTGCACAATTAATGTGATCTTGCTGTTGTATGTATGGTGATAATTTGTCAAACCTTGGCTCATGCTTCATTAGTTTGAGAGCAACACATGCAGCACTCAGGTCATCTGTTAGTCTGTTTCTCGTATCAGATTTGATATAATTCAAAGCTGAAAACAGATGCTCACAAACATAAGATGATCCAAACAAAGTAAGAAAAGCAATCCCAGGTGCTTTCACTGATTTAAAATTATTTGGCAGCAGAGGCTGGGGAATGTAGCTGAGTGGTGCCAAGCCTGCCTGGCAAGCACAAGGTCCTGAGTTTGATCCCCAGTACCACAAGAAAAAAAAAATTATTTGCCAGAGAATTCTACACTTTAAGGATTTCACTTTCAGAACTACCAACTGTGTGTTGTCCTTTGTCACCTCTTCACACTCTTTTTTTTTTTTTTTTTTGGTACTGGGGATTGAACTCAGGTCCTTGCGCATGCACAGCAGGCTGCAAAACCACTGAGCTAAACCCCCGGCTCTGTCTTCTTAATTGTTGCACACAGGTCATAGAATGTATTTCTCTAGAAAGAGCTTTCTTGAAATTCCAATAGCTCCATTTCCAGATTTCAAAAATCTAACCAGTATAAAATAAGCAGGAAAGATCGAGTTCTTCAAATTTGGCTTTATCTGGAGAAGTAAGCAAACACAGGATTTTCTCCATCTTACAGAACTGTAAAAATCTGTTACTAAGGGCCGGGGATTTAGCTCAGTGGTTCCGGTGCCTGCCTCGTAAGCGCAAGGACCCGAGTTCGATCCCCAGTACCAAAAAAAAAGGGTAAGGGCCGGGGATTTAGCTCAGTGGTTTTGCCGCCTGCTGCGCAAGCACAAGGACCCGAGTTTGAACCCCAGTACCA